GGCTAAATTTAGTCTCGCAACGGGGCTAATTTAGTCCCGAGGCTAAAATTAGCCCCGGAGCGTCTGCCTTGCAATTGAGACCGACCTGCAAGATTGGGCGCAGGAGGCGGGGCAGACGGTGATCGACCAAATGCGTTCGACAAGCTCTTTCCGGGCGCCTTCCGCGCCGAGCTTCAGAACCAGCGTAAGAGCGGAGCGCCGTCAAGGTGAGCCCCAAGGGCAAGCGCGTCAAGCTTCTGGGATTCGGACGGCAAGCGTCCCCGGAGTTCGTCGCCGTTGGAGCAGGCCAAGGCAAGGCTGACCGGACACGCTGGTCATCAGCCAGAGCAAGCGCATGGCCATAACGTGGCTGTGAACCGGGCCCGGAGGGGGCAAAGCTTGCGCGCGAGCCAGTTCATCAAAATAGATTTGAGTGGTTGTGACGGCACGCACGAAAAAGGGCAGCGGCGGCGGGCGCGAATTCTGTGGCCCGCGCAGAATGGACGGGTGCTTTCCCAGGCTGTAACTCCAGCCTGAGACTGGTTTTCGCAAACGCAGTTGGCGCGCGCCCCACACGCGCCCAACCTGCCCCCAGCGCAGCCACTCTTTTAAAGGGGTTTCTCCAAACGCACTATAACGCACCTATGGGGATTCTCACATTTGTCCGTCCAGGACGTGACCTTATCTTCCAAGATTTCTAAACGCTAAGATGCAGCAGAAACAGTTGATTCTTCAAGCGCAAGTTGTGGACCATCCAGAATTCGCGGAGAAGTTGCAACTGGCGGGACATTCCAATTTCTAAGCTTACCTATTACTGTCTTGTTTGTTTGGTTTGGCGTTTTGTTGTTGTGCTTTGGTTTGGGAGCCGCAAAGGTGGCTGGAAATACACAAATGAAATTGCGGAGAATATTGAGGTTGGTGTAGACCGAAGTTTCAACCACGCCGGAGTTGCAGGGATTCGAGAAATCCAACCTGTCTCCCGTCCATTTCACGTGAACATAAGATGCAGTTTGGCTCAGCGACGTCTGCTCATCAATGCAACTTGCAAGGTGCGTCAGATTGGCTTGTATCTTTGTAAGGCACCAATCAGACTTGTGAAGGATCAAATTGGGTTGTTTGTTTTGGATTGGCTTGTGAAGGGGGTCAGATGGTTCAGTTTGTGAGCATCAGATTGGCTTGTGGAAGGGGTTGGATTGACTTGTTTGAGTTTTCTGTTGTTGGAGCATCAGATTGACTTGTTAATGCGTATGTTGTTCTGGAAATGTTGAAAGTTTGAAAAGATTAAATCCAAGTTGCTTCCTTGCGTGCGTCCAAGAAAAATATCTTCTGCCATCGTGATTGTTCGGCGACGATTGCTTGCTTTTACAGAACAAGCAAATGTGATCTTCAACAAGGTGTCGTTGTTTGGCTCTTTAATGCTGGGATGTTTGGAGCATCGGTAAGTTGTGGTTTCGGGTAACCACGCGTTCGTGCCAAAGCGTTGAAGTTTTTTCTAGGTTTTTTGCTTATCGTGGCTTTGCCAATCGGTCAGTTTTCTTGGTTGCGTGTAGGTCTGACGTTGCGCGCAACTGTGTTGGGACTTGCCATTTTTCGCGCGCAAATGTCGCTGATGATCATTCGTTCTTGTTGGCGGTCGCCGCACGGTTGCTTAAGGTTTAGATCAGGCCCGTTTTTTTTTGAACCACGCGGCCATTGCGATATCGCGTCCGCCGTTAAACGCAAAGAATGAAGGACAGGAAAAATGTCGAAGATCCAACCAACACACCCAACACAAGCAAGCCACGGTTTAGAACAGGCCCGGCGTTCGGCGCGGGCGCTAGCTCCTGCGCAAGCCGAGAGAAAAGGGGTTGTGTAGCCGGCTGTGTGCGCTGTTTTGCGGCGTGTCAGAGCTTTTTGTCCCGCCCAACCCACCCAGATGAAGGGGCATAGTGACGGCATGAGCCACTGGCATGAGCCAAAGGAAAAGAAGGCAAGCGTGAGCTTGTTTTCGTGTGCTCCTTTTTGGAAGTGTGCGTTTACTCCTCTGACTTCCCCATTGCCTCGGTGAGCAGAAAAAAGGGGGGAGCGCGAGCTTTGTAAAGGTTTCGCAAGATTGCCCCCTTACCATGAGGTTTCCGAGTTTTGCGATTCCCCCCCTTCTTCTTGTTTGAAGTGTTTTTGAACGGTGGGTCGTTTGTGCAAGAAGTGAAAGGGGAAGGTAGGTTCACCTTTCCTTTGACACAACTTTGAACACTGAACTGGAAATAACGAATTGGAGGTGCAACAGGAAGCTCAGCAAATGGTGCGTCAGCTCCAGGCATTTGCGCAATCGGTTCCAGCGGTCAATGCTACTTGAGCCGCTTCACCCATGCTCTTGGCTTTGGATGAACCTTGTGTCGTGCTCATGGTACAGATGCCTTATATCAGAGATATCGCAAGGTGTCAGGTCAGTTGGCGTGGGCCTCGATCACTCGAAGCGACCTCCAGTATTGTGTTGGATTGTTGTCAAGGTATCACCCTGACCAATTTGCTGAAGCCATGAGAGTGGTGTTGAGATGGCTATTAGGCAGATTGGCTGTTGTGCAGACGTTTCCCTCCGAGACTGTTGAGTGAGAAGTGGCAAACGGGCCTTGTGAACATGGAACATTAAATTGGAGACGACTGGAACACTGGAACGAACTGTGTATTGGATCATTGTGGAACCCTGGAACGAACTGCAACCCTGGAGGAACATTGGAACACTGGGAACACTGGAACGCTGCAACACAGTAACGCTGGAAAAATTGGCGCTGTAACTTTGGAAACTGAAACACCGGAACACTGGAACAAATCACTGAAACACTGGAAGACTGGAAAACACTGGAACACTTGAACATGGGAAATGGAACACTGGAAGACTGGAAGACTGGAACACACTAGATCAGTGACAGGGTTCATGTTTTTTGGCGTGGGAGAATGTTGAAATCAGGATCGCGGAAGCAGTCGGTTCCCGCGATGAGCCCCGAAGCTGAGGTCATCGCTTTGGCAGAAACAGCTAAGGAGGGACTCAGCATTGCGTGTTTGGTTGAAACTGCCTTGTATGGGATCAAGAAGACGGTCCTTGGTGAGCCAAAGATCCCAATTTTTACGTTTACCAGGATTGGCCACAGATCCAGCTTCTCAAATCTGCTCTCGCCTTCGGGCTCTCCTCCTTGACTTCCACCCAGTCGTATGGAAAGGCGACTGGCTGCTCGATGCATTCAGGGGAGGATGCGAAGCCGGCCACACCAGGGGATTGGCGTCCAACATTTCTTCGACTTGGAAGGTAGTAGCAGCGGATGATTCGGTGATAGTAGGAGCCTTGGACTCCAGAGGAGAAACACGAAGAAAGAAATGCGCCCGTTGTTGTTTTGTTTTGCAATCTTCTGTTCTTTGCTGGTTTTGCGGTTGTTTTGGTGTTTTGGTGTTTTTGTTTTTTTGCTTTGTTTGTTTTGCTTGTTATCGGGTTTCTTGTTAGTTTCATTTATGCTGTGTTTCGATGCTGGAACAGCGGACCTGCGTGATTGCGATTGGCCGCACGGATCAAACAAATACCAACAGGAATCTCGTTGCTGAATTCTCAAGCCACAAGCTACACAAGTGGATTTATTGTTTCCTGCAAAGGTCATATTATCGTCAAAGCGGCGAGATGGGCAACTTCAACCTACTTTGCAGCTCGCAAGAATCCATACATGTTGAAATTTGGCGGCTTGATTCCCTTTTGTCTTGTTTTGGTCAGTGCTCACACTGCATTTCTTCGAAATCTTGCGCTTCGTGTCATTTTCATTGACAACAATTCGGCCAGGAACGGTGCCATGTCGGCCAGAAATCTCAGCGGCCCTTTTAAGATTAGGGCACACTTGGTTTGCGCGTCGCCTTCTGTCAAACTCTGCAAACTCCCACCATGAGGGTCGCGGCTTGGAAACAAATGGAGTTTGTTGATGCTTGCATTCCAAACTCGACTTGCAAATGTGCTTTTTGGTCTTGCTGCTAAGTCGGGCGGCTTCGAGCTCCTTGTGACGTTAAAAGAGATACACTTAATGCATGACAGACAGATCGCGTGTCTTGGGAAATATCCTTTTCGCTATGTTTCCTGCTCGGTTGCAGATGTCCAACAGGCGATTCTTTTCCAGGGATGGGGTTAGGTTCGGCTCAAGGATGAAATGAATGGCTTTCAGGATACAAATGAATGGTTGCAGGTTGCTTCATCTTTTTCCAGGTTGGGGCAATGAGTTGGAAGTTGAAGTGCGGGCAATGTATTGGTTGGGTTGCGTTTGCCAGTTTGGGAAAGGGCTCCAACACATTTATTCATTGTTGACCAAACATGTTTCAGGAAAGCAACGAAAGGATGTATTCAGACCGTTGTGCCCGCATGTATTGTGGCTGACGATGCATCATTTTCCTGATGTTCTGTGCAATTGGACGAACGCTTGTGGTTTTTATTTGTCGGGTTAGAATTAGTTCAACGTTCGCTCTCGTCATTTTTTTTCTGGTGTGCATGTTGTCACAGCCATTCTGCTTGTGAATCACTCAAAGTAGTGTGATCTGCCCGAATTGGGGGCATTTCCAGATGTATGCCAGGAACTCGCAAAGCATAGTCAGACTTATGCTGGATGTAGATGAGCGAACGCATGCCGGA